GATGTTCTAAGGGTTACTGGATTACAATTGTTCTCTGCAAACAAAATTCACATCTGCTCTGACAACTTATTTCAGCCTGATGCAACTTGAAAAGGTCGAGATTAATCCCAGAAAATCAGACTTCTATTGGAAAGGCCAAATCAACTTTAATTGTAACACATGGCTATTTGTATTGGCGTTTAGCTGCGGCCGTTTGTCCTTCTTTCCATTGGTATTATTTGTTTCTGAGCTCTCTACTAAAGCCTACAATGCAAGCTGAAATGTTTTAAGGAACGTAACAACAACAACAGCTGACATCTTTCCTTTTACAGGTTCCCATTGACCCAGGGCATTTTGTGTGCGTGGCTTTTATGACTTTTGTTTATCAGCAGTCTGGGGGAAAAAAAAAATTCACAGAAGAAAATGTTGGCTCATTTTATAAAGATTAATAGCGTCTACTGTACTTTCACACACCCTCCAAGCCTGTTGGCTTTATCCATCAGAGCCCCGGGGGAGATGAACCACTTGCTCTGGAGTTCTGCCTCCTCTCAAACTTTGATGGTGGGTGCTAATGGGTTTAAAACCCCTTGGCCTTACAGCGGTTGTGAGCTGTGGTTTTCTGTGCTGGTGAGGTGGCCAAGAGCAGCACCCTCCCCTCAGCACGGGGACAGGTTGGTGTAGCACCTCTCTAACCACCCTGCCGGCTGCCGGCAGCTGCTATCAGCTCAGCCATCGAGCCGTCAACCGACATCTGAGCTCTCAGAACCCCTGAAAAGTGACAGGACGAGAGAGACTCATTTGGCAATACTTTGCTCTCACTGTTTGGCCTGGAGAAAGATACTCAAAGTGGTAAGATTGTTTAGCAACAGCTGGCAAGCACCCGGGTGTGAGCCTGATTTTCAGACATGACAGGCACTTACAGGAGTGTTGCCAGATACAGCTGTTTAAAAGCCTTAATAAACAGCAAGTCAATACTAATCTTTGCCAAATTAATCTTTTCCTTGACAGCCCATCAGAGCAATTATGCTCAGACTCGTTGTAAACACACAATTGTCAGAGGGTAAGGATCTTCTCTGCAGTATACTGTGGATTTTTGCACACAGCTTGTTTTCCAAATAGGAAGGTTTCCTTTTCTTTTCCCCTTCCTCTCTTTTTTTTTTTTTTTTTCTCTCTCTTCTATTTTATTTTCTAGCCAATTACATGTTTGCCAGCTTGGTATTAGCCTGAACGAAATTTCTTTGTAAAATGTCTATCGCAGCAAGCCCTTAATAGAATGTGAAATGATGACAGTCGCAGGATCCGTGCAGATGCACATTTGCTAGTGGGTTTCTCTAATTAGGCAGTAACTGTGACAGACTCTGAAATGTTACAAGTCATTGTTCTCACTTGTCCTCTTGTCGGTGGAATAAGAACTACATTTGAGTTGTGATTTAATGTGCTGCTGGGTAATAATAAAATACATGACTTTGCAAAGGAAAGCAAATGCTGCCTGTGAGACCTGACACAAAGCACCTCATGTTCTCCAAGGTGCTCTGCACCTCCTGCAGCACTGCCAGCACACTGCTATATTCACTAAATAATATTATATTTAAATGCAAAAGGACTTGAAGACACCAGATAAATAATTAACAGGGCAATGGCTTTCTTTCCCTCTTTCTTTCTTCCTTCCTTCTTTTCTTCCTTCCTTCCTTCCTTTCTTTTTTCCTCCCTTCCTCTTTCTTTCTTTTTCTTCCTTCCTTTCTTTCTCTTTCTCTTTTTCTCTCTTTCTCCCTTCCTTCTTTCCTTCCTTTCTTTGTTCCTTTGCCTTTCTCTCTCTTTCTTTCTTTCTACCTATATCTGTATCTGTATCTGTATCTACTTATGAATGAAAGTTCTGGGGAGTAACTCCTGTACGGATTACATACTGCTCTTTAGCTCCTTCTCACAGTGTGTGCAAAATAAGGATTTTTACCTACTCTGTTTCCCCTGAGCACAGAAAGACATCTCCGTGGATCTGCCATGTTTACAGGATTGGGTAAAAAGTAGGCAGATATAGTCTTGGAGACGGTAGCTCAGGTTGAGATGAAGTCTCAAAAGGTGGAGGAAGGTGGTAAGAGCATGTTTTACCTTCCAGTAATGAGCTCTTTTATTATTGGGTTTCCTGTTTACGGAAGAGCCTCGCAGGGAATATTTGGCAGAGACACCACTGGAATCAGGAACCGGTGTTTGGTGAGAGAGAGAGAAGTGGGCACGAATACATTAAGTTTCATTGTGAATGGCTGGGGCCCTCCATGAATACATTACTTACTGCCTGTGGAAGAATGGGGGGGAAGAAATCCTATAGCAGGTCCCTGTGAAGAGCTTCTTTGGGTCAGAGGCAGCAGCTGGGTGGGATTTCTGCTCTAACTTCTGTGAGTTTGGTGATAGAGGGACTGAGACTCGCATCACCAGAAAGGGGCGCACTGAGAGCAGCAGTAAATTCGAAGAGTTTTTCCTTTTCAAAACCTCTGCTTACCTTGGCGCAAGCAAATGGGATTAGCATCTTGCAGAGTGCATATGTTGCCAACCTTGCATTTTGCCTACCACTTTTTAAAAATAATTTTTTAAAAAATATTAATTTCAGTTAATGGAAGACATTCCTTCCCTTGGTTTCAATCACTTTGACAGACGTCTTTATCTTATTTACTTGCTGTTACTGTGTTGCTTCAATGTGTGGGTTGTTTCGCTCCTGTGGGCTTTCTCATTATCATCGTTATGACAGATGGTGACTTACAACCAGTGACTTGGGTATATGTGTTACTGCGGTGCCTGAGCCACAGTCCTTCAGCGAAGGATGGGGCATATTTTCATGAACTCCAGTGGAGTTTCATCTGCTTACAAAAGGATCTCAACCTTTTAGGCTCCATCTTTTGACAATTTGTATCCATCAATACGCAGCTGAAAACAAACAGCAGATTGCCCTTGGCCAGCAACCATTGCTTTTTTCCAAGGCGAGACACGAAGAACTGACATTTATGCATCAAAGTTGGATCTTTCCTTTGGAAGGAAGTGGCTTCAGTATAAGCCTGGTCAAAACTGCTGTTCTTCCAGCATAGCTGTCCCATTCGAACAGAGCTCAGGCCCAAAACCACACTCAAATCACCAGGCAGGTACGGAGCTGCACAGTAAACACACTGCAGGTTTCCCTTCTTACAGACTGAGAGACACCAACTAGCCAGAGGTTCATACAGAATAAGTATTTTATTCATGATGTATTTTTTTATTTACATTAAAGTTTTCTTGTATTTTGAACTCTGCTTGGATACCGAAATTAACAACTTTATGTGACTGCGCACCTGCTCTAAAAGAAATGGAGATAACACAGTTCTTTTCTGTAAAAGAAAAAGGAAAACTGCCTGTCAAAACCAAAGCTGATTTTTCTCATCCTCAGTAATTATCTTCTCTCTTTAGAATTAATATGAGTGGAAAATGTAGTTTACTATAATATAATAAATAGAAGACATTGGGTAATTAGTAGTGCTGGTATATTTCTAAAGTACTAAACAGACAAACAATAAACTGTGAATTTAATCACGAGTTCTCATACAGTTTCAAGACAGGAAAATTAGAGCTCTCAGCTACAGTCATTTGAGTAATCACATCTGATCTGCATTATTTATTAGTTATTACATGCCAAGTGATTCCGATTGTACATTGCCTGAAATCATTCCAAAGCAAGCATACCTTTGTTTCTGTTTTGTTTTTGAAGAAAATCAATGGCATTGCATAATGTGTATTTTATCTGAGTTGATTTCTTTATTTCACGTAGAAAATACAAATCAGCGGTACTCTCCATTAATTGGACAGGCATCCAGGATTAAATCCTCCAGAAATATGTTTTCAGAACTATCTCCAATCCAAAACATTGACAAAATACCTTATTTCAGATTTTTTTTAAATCACTTTCACTCTGGCTGTTAAACTTACCTTTCACTTTAGGATGCATTTGTGATACACACCCTATAACTCTGTAGGACCTTTTGCATGTATAATAAAATGGCTGAAGCATATTTGGTAATATTTCTGTTGGTAGTACTTTTATTCCACCTGACTAATTAACCAAAACTGATGAAGTTTCAAGAAGCAGCATTATGCCATTTTATTCAGTTAGTTTTGTTGGTTTAAGTCTTAGTTTTGGGCAACTTCCTGCTACAATGCTTTAAAAAGGGAATTACTTAAAATACCTTTTTTTTTACCCTTAACAACTAAAGAAATAGAGAAATAAGTATAGGTTACCTTCATTTTCTGCCAGTAAAGCAGGTTTGATGTTATATATGTCACTGTAAAAACTAAATAAAGTATTCACATCAGTTGTGAACAATTTGTGCCAGCAAAAGTTAAAGCGTCAAAGAAACCTCTTTAAAATGCTAACAAATTTACTTACAAACACCTATATTTATTATTTCATAAATAGGCGCAACAGGTTCCATAAAAAAGATTAAATACAGACACAGTATGAAGAAACAATAATACATAGCCATATGGAAAGGTTATAATTTAGCTGTCTCCAATCTGTTTCTGCATCTAATAAAATATCAGGTAAGCATTTGGCAGTTTTATACATAAAAGGACTTAAATGACGTTTACTAACCAGTACACATAAAGTGATTTTCTTTAAAAAAAAGAAGCATTTTTTAGGCAGTACAAAATAAATGTGTTTGCTCTTTATCAACATTAGTTTTTTTCCTAGGTTTTTGTGTTTATTTCATGAGACAAAGCCAATATTTTTAATCGATATCATTTGGGAATATTTTTCTTTTTTTTCTCCAAATACTTTGAAAATATAGAACTATTAGTCAGTTGCTTAAAAATGAAGTAAAAATATGAATGTTTGCCAATTTAACCCTTATTGTGAAATCAATAAACTGGAATGAGCCAGTTTCAATTACAATTAGCTACAAAAACATTCACATTTTATACTCTAGGAGAGTGTAACATAGATGCTATTTACAAACTTGCTATGACTGCTACATCAAGCCATTTAAAAAGTCTTTAGTAGTTTCATATAAACACCCATTATGAAAAACCAATGGAAAATCCAGGACTTTTATCCGAGACATCTACAGTTGCTAAGGCAGTTACTATCGCAGCACTTCACAGCAAAAACCAACATAAAATCTGAATGGTCCAAGTTTCCTTCAGGAAAGAAGAAAAGCAACGTCCGTTAAAGGATCTCAGGGTGGGAGTGGAAAGAAGAAAGAAAGAGAAAAAATGGGGGGGGGGCGGGGGGGGGATCCAGGAAAAGAAAAAGAAAGAAGCAAGACTATTTTTTCCAGAGTGGGTGACCCACAAGCTTAAATAGTCCTAAGTGCTTAGCAACTTGTATTTCCTAATAAAATGCAGAACTGCCTTGACTGCATAAAGCAATCCATGATGAAAAGACTTCCCTGCATTCCTCAGTGGAAAGGAGAGGTGTTTCAGATTTTCAGGTAAGGTAGAGTGCTTTGTCCCTCTGCATGCTGCTGTTCAAAGAGAAAAAGAACAAATGTTATTTTTTTAAAAAAATGTCAAATATTTAGTCTTATTGTCCCAAAAAAAAAAACCAACCCCACAACCCTACTTCATGCCATTAAGTCCAAGCATATCACTGAAGTACGACTGCATTGCTATGGCAATAATAAGAAAAATTCTAGTGCCATAGTGGGATGTAGCAACCCGGAGACCACATCTGGCTCTAAACTAAAGAGGACTGGGACATGGGCTTAAGCACTGGTTTGGGATCACCTGCACTGCGTTGATAGCAGTGACTATCCCTCTCTCACAAACTGCATAAGTACAGCTGAGGGTTTAGCACAGGTCTCAGAACGATACTCCATAAGCACCTGATATGATGTGGCCACTTTCCTTAGAGGGCAGAAGAACTTGGTTAGATGAACACAGGTGCCAGCCACTGGTATCTCTGGCCTATTTTATTTACAGTACAGACGTAGCCAAAACGTGTTGGGTTGGCAGATTCAGGTAAGCACATGCAAGGGAACACCAGACGCTTCTGGCAGAGCCAATTAGAACAACTCTCTACTGGACACCAGGCTCTACAGGAGACTTTCCACCGATGCACTGTGTCTAGCATACTTGTACATTCAGTTATTGCCGAGTTTTAGCTTCAGCTGAAACATACCAGTTCAGAGCAAAAAGGAGTCATTTACCAGTTTCTAATTTGGAACAGTCTGTAGTGGTCAGAAAAAGATACATCATTTAAAGCAGAAGCAGCATCACTGATGAGGCTTGATTCACACTGCAGAGATTTTCTGGGAGAGAGGCTTTACTCTTAATCTCCTGCTCACTTGCCAAAACCCAGGCACCAGTTCTGCACTTCCACAGCTTTACAGTTTACTTGGTTTGGAGTCTGGGAGCAGCACAGAGCAAGCTATGCTGCACTGGCAATTTATGCCAATGCTAAAGCTAAGATTGGTTAAGTCCATGCCCACAGATTCACAAAGGCATATCTACAGGGTATACACAGGGTCTGCTCAGAGAAAGCTTCTGCTGATGCACAGTGGGCACCCAGAGGGCACTGCTGGCAATGATTGCACATTGCTTTTTCCAGAAGAGACCAGGATCAAAGCTACAGGTGGCTTTGTTTGACAGAGGACAGTCTATTCAGAGCTCAGTTTAAGTGGGTATAAAAGTCAGTTGGCTGAGTAGGCTCCTACGAGGACCTGCAGACATTATGGTGGCACAGCACAGGAGTGAGACTGTTCTGCTGAACAAGTGGGCAAGTCATGAGGCAACAGCCATAGGCACGGGGGAAAAGTGATGCTGCTGTGCAGACTAGTTAAAATCTGCCTCCATGTCAGCAGGTTTTAGTCAAGGTGTTATTCTGACCTAGTAAGCAGAAAGATTTTTGTTTGGTTCTAGTCCAAGTTCCAGAAAAACTTTAAAACAATAATGCAAGTTAAATTCTCTGAGTAAATGTAATGGGTGAAACTGGTCTTTAGTTCTGCTTTGTGTTCATTTGTCTGGGCTGGATTTGACACTTTGGTAGAAACCAAGAGCTTTTATCTGCCTTTGCCTTGGGGATTCATGCCAAAGTGAAGGGGAGGTCAGGCTGGTGGGCATGTTCACAAGGCACAGCATCTATAATTTAAAACTCAAAAGATACCTTCTGTTCAGAGTCTTAAATGTTTCCAGGCAGTTCCTGGGACAGTAACGTGGCTCCATAAAAACCATGCTGCAGAGGAGCTGAGGGTTTGAAGGGGCTACCAACCTTATGGTAGGGGCACAGAGCTCCTACAGGTATGGTGTTTTGTTCCTGATTACAATCATGTGATCTTCATGCCATTCCCTTCCACATATCTTGTATTCCATGCATCCCCCCTGCATCTCCCTGATGTGGGTTTTCATCACCCAGACTAGTTTCCACTGGCAGCAAGGTCTCCTCAGCAATGGAGTATTTGGAGAAAATAGTTCACCCCATTTGCCTCTCAAGTAGGAGACAGTGATCTTAACACTTCTTTCCTTCAGCTTCTCCCTAAGATTTCAGTTCTGATTTTCTAATGAATGGAAGTTCTCTAAGATCAAAGCGTATGTGCTGTGATAGGGTGACAACAATGTTTAATGAATATACGTCTTGAAAACTTGTTCTGCCACAACAGTCTAACCGCTGAACAAATACAGTGTTGTCACAGATGCACTTCTGAAATACTGTAGGGAGACAGGCAACAAAGCTGTTTTCAAATTCTCTATCAGATACTTGTGTCATAAATGTTGCTCAACACAAGGTGGCATTCACTGGCTGCTTACCCATTACTGCAGTAGTCATTATTCCAGTCCACAGTCTGTGCTGGAGGATTTCTGCACCCTGAACGAACGTACTCCATTGCTTGGGTAACAACTTGTGCAGCTGTTGATGTTGGATTGATGATATTCTGATAATCAGGCTGAAGAGTAAATCCCTAGAGGAGAGAGCAAGTACATTACTATGTACAGAAACGAAGCAAGGGATCAGTGCATTTAACAAAACCAAACGGTGTGTACTGTGCAATGGTAGAATACTTCTTTTCCAGCTGTAATTTAGGTTATCAAACTTAAAATAGGAAAAAAAAGCATAGGTGCTTTCTAAGTTTGAAAATCTTTCTTTGGTTTGAGAAATGAAACACTGCCAAAACGCTGTTAGCTATTACACAGTCACAGGATGGAACTAAAAGGGACAGAGCAGAAACAATTCAAAACCAAGAGAACAACTCAATCAACACTGGGGTAAAAAGGTCTGTTTGCTCCTTAGAGCTTCCATTTAGATTAAACGTAAGGACACACACAAGTCGTTAACTCCCAGAATATGCAACAGAATCTTTTTGAAGGATGTAGGCAGCAGGTGGCTGACTGTTTTATTAGACTACACCTATTCACATATTGTTCTCAAAACCCTTTTTCTTCATTCAGTCACAAAGGGACCATCTGCTGCTTCTTTTATTTGTACTTCTCTCTCAACTAAACAGAAATTCAACCAAAGCTTTTTAACAGTTGTTGAACTAATGTAGTGAAAGTAGCACAGAATAACTTGCTTTTTGAAACCAAGAAGACAAGAAAAAAAAGTGGAAGTTACAAAGAGACATCAAACCTGCTCCCTGAAATATCTGCCATATGAAAAGTCATAATAATTTTTAGCTCTTTTGATACACGAGGATGTTTAAATGCTGTGTTTCAAAACCAGGAGAACAATTGAAATTTGAAGGCTAGTGTATCTGCTTCACCCTGGATAAATGTACATCATGTTCCTGTAAAGTTAGAAGAACTACATTGGGTAAAAATATGGGAATGCTGTACAAAAGCAATTGATGTCTGCTGAAAAAAACCAGACCAAACTCCTTCTTGGGGCAAAGGCATACAATTTCCACTCCAGTTAACTGGATATGTAGCTGTGAAATCAGAAACTGAACTTCAACCAAGATACCTAGTTTGAAAATCCACTCCCTCTGGCCAAAGTCCACATAAAGAATAGACAGGATTAAAGCTCATAGCTTTTAGTTTTACATTCTAGTGGATTATGTGTGATCGCTTCATATACACAGCCTTCGTTAAGACAGGAATTTTGAGAAGAGCTGTTTTTCTTCTGCAGGTTTAACAACTCGGCCACACTACCTTTAATGAAGATAAATGAGTATTCTCAGTTTCCACCTGGCCCCCTCCTCCCCCAGAAATGAGCTTCCTTCAAACGTAACATGCCGCTTCCTTCTTCACATCTCTCTTTCTTGGCGCATTATACTCCAGCTCTTCACTGGAGGTCCTGTGGGTGTTCTGCCCTGCCGTGCCCCTCTTGTACACTGTCGCCTCAATCTGCTCATCCTGACTGCAGATTTTCACCTACGCTGTAAATGAGTGCAACTTTCTTCCATAATCTCTTCCATATGGAGAATATCCCATTGTCACACCTCAGTACCTTAAATGCTCTCTGAAGCCTCACTTTGTCCCCGATGACTCCAAGAAAAAGACAGTTAGTCGTGGGCAAGTTCGTGAACTGAATTCAGTATCTTGTTGTCCTGTAACATATACTGCCCTGCTAATAAAGTAAAATAAGCCCCACCCACGGTGACTGCAACCCCCGTGATCTGTACCCCTTTGCACCGGGCTCTGAACTTGCACATCAGGCTGCATAAACAACTCCCACGCCTGCAACGAATCCAAAGGAAACTGTAATTGAGCAGACTTCCCGATGACTTTAATTGGAGTTTCGTGTAATTAGAAGGTAGAAAAATCGGTTTTGTATATCACCGTCATCGTTTTTATACAAAACATCACCCACAAGGCCTTTCTAATTTAGCTGTAAGAGGAAACTAACCACAGAAACACATCCTACCCTCAGGCACTCAGGTTTACCTTTGGTAGCAAAGTCCCTGAGCAATCTCTTATCGGTCTTCATGAAACAATCATATATACAAGAAAAACACTATGTGGGGCCAGTAGCTCCAGCAGTGCTGTAGCGAAGCATGCAAGTGAGCAGGGACAGAAACTCAAGTAATCATGAAGCAAGGAGGGACAGTTCCCCAAATCAGATGAAGAGACCATCAGTGCAATATCCATTTCATTTCTTCTGGACTTAGGACAAATAAATAGCTTAGATACGGGAGGATGGTCCTGTGGTTTAAGTGTAAGCTTATAAGTGGGTGGGGACTTATTCTCATATTTTCTCAGGTTTTCTATGTGACCACAAGCCAAATTGCTTTGGCTGTCTTCCAGCGAAGCACGTGTGCATTTGCGCTTGGACTGAATTGATATCTCTCATGGTAAGGTTGGGACCATGGATCCGACCTTTATTCTCCTATCTGCAAAATAGCGGGTAACGACACTTTCATCTTGAGCCTGGCAAGTATGTTTAGTTTATAACTGGCTGGGATTGGGGCCTGTTTCTTAGGACGTGCTCACGTGATGAATTTTAACGTGGTGCAGAGGTATCTGAACCAGGCTCCAGCTCCAGAAGCAGCTGAGCTGCTGCAGCTCATTGGTCCCACTGGGATTGAGGGCTACTGGAATACCAGCAATGTGGGTGCTGGAAAGCATTCTTGTAAAGGGAAAGTAATTTAAGAAACCTGAACTCAATATGAAGGACTGATAAAGTATGGTGATGTTTAAAATGTAAACAATAATTACTTCAGCTTTTTCATCAACAGAAAAAGCTCTGGAAATATAGATCTGTACAACAGAGGGAGACAGCCTTGTACCAGGCTTGTAGTAAATATTTGTGTATTATTTATTTAAGCCCTTAACAAACAATGATGAAATAAAAAGTGCTCAGAAAATGAGTGCTTCGAGGTCTAATTAAACAATGCTGAATGTTTTTGCATTGTAATGCTCAAGAGAAAATCACCAACTGTTTTGCAACATGCCTAGAATTTTAAATTTCATTTTCTTGTTCCAGATTGAAATAAAAATAGGGAACTTGATAAAGATTAATTCGATGTCAGGAGGGACATTTGCTCTTTAATTAGATTTCTGTAGCCCTAGCAGTTTCGTTGTGCCACTGTAGCAAGTCCTAAAAAGCCTGCAGCAGAACTAAACAGTGATCCTCATCTCCACACTTTACTGGGAACTAATTTCATTTCCTGCCTGTCTGGAGAGGTATTTTCAACAGGCATCAATGTTTTTGTCTTCACAACTGATTTATTCATCAATCTCAATGTGATATTTTAAACCTTTAAATTACATCCAAATCCTAAAGCATCTGTTTATTACACAAGGAAATTGAAAATCTGTCTGTGTGATATCATACAAAGATTTTTCCTTAAGGTTATAAAGGAAGTTGACAGATATTAATGATTTTTTTTTTTCTCTTGACCTCATTCGAAGACAAAGCTTAACAAAAAAGAGGAAGAAATCTGGACAAATACAGCAGGTCCATGAGTTTACTGTATATAATATATACCAGAAAAAATGAGGCTATTATTTTTGGCAGGCTATGCAATCATCTTGCTGTATACATTTATTTTCTAAAGGAAAAGAAATATCTAAAAGTAGACCGAAATGAGTTATTATTTAAAAAAAATAAAAAATAAAATGTGACATACATTAATCTTCTGCTTCTTTGTTATGCATACACTTGCAGCCATGGCTACTAGACATTAAAAATGTAGTTTTGCTTGCTCTACCTGTGAAACGAAGTGGGACAGAGAGTGTAATGGGACTCACCATCCCACCCAATGCTTGGGTGAAGCATTTTAAGCAGGGAAGAAGATGCTTCCAGTAGGTCTACTTAAAAGGGTTCCTTAACTAGGACAGGGTGCATTTGGGAGGGAGTGAATCCTTAGTCTCACGACCCTCCACACAAAAAAGCACAGTACAACAGGCCGCAGAGGGGGGTATGCTCAGAAAGAAGCACAAGTGTCTGAGTAGAGCAAGGAAAGAACCACTCTGCAAAAGAAAACAGGTTGCAGCTTCAGACACCTTTTTAGCCTGTGCTTTGGAGAAATCGTGCTGATCTGAATGACAAGAGTTAAGATTCAGATCACCTGATCCCAACTAAGTAAAACTTAAACATCATGTCAAACCTAAGAAACGACTGGAGAGAAGCAACTCTGTATCAGTTAAAACATACTAAGATGCTTACATGAGCGTTTAATGAAAGAAGAATTGCACACTTCTAACCTACTGTGATTCTTCCCGTGTGTCAAAAGTGGATGAAAGAAAAACTGCTACATAGGTGATTTAGACTTTAATAAAGTAAAACTTTAGCACGGCTCCTGTCAACAATATTGTGGAAAAATACAGTATATTTCAGAATTAGAAGTTAAATAGCATCAAAATCAGAATCTAATTTAAATCTAAGTGTAAGAACTAAGTAGTCATTTTTTGCAGTGTAAAGGACTAACAGTGTAAATGAGCACCCCAAAGGTCTACAGTAGCGCCCATTGTTTAATTTATTCATTAATTGTTCTGGAACAGAAAGGAATAGAGGCAAAATAGTCTACTTTGCAGAAGTTACAAAAAAATATTTAGATAGCTCGAACTGGAGAAGATTGCTTAAAAGAAATTAAAAAATATTTACTAATGCTAGGCATATGACCAAAATGCTAATATCTAAATTTTACTTTGCCTTGTGCATTTCAGAGCAATTTGGATGCACTGCATCAGCTGCATACTCCACAGAATTAATTGATTTTAAAAATAACAGAAATTGTGCAGTCACTGGAGATTTTTGGCTACCGACACTTCTGATATTCTTGATGTTCTGTAGGTTTTGTGGACTCCTGGAGGAGACTGCCCTTCTCCAGCTGGCAGCCTCTCTTGGTTTGGCAGCTGCACACATGCAGGCAAGGGCTGGTGGAAGTGGAGGAGGACGTGCTGTTCCCTGCAGAGCTGATGAAGATCAGCTCATTGTCCTGGCAGCAGCGGGGACAGAAATCTTTCCCCAGGTCAGCACTTCTTATCTGTCCCTCCTCAAAGTTACTCACAGAAGAGTTGGTGGATTTCACGCAGAGTGGTTTTGGAGAACTCTCTCTGCCAGGACTAAGGTCTGGATCTTTATGTGAGTTTTCTTGGAGCTGGCAGTCCTTCAGATATACTGCAAGCCAGTCTTTGGTAAGAAACCATCCTCCCTCTCCTGGAGAAAACGAGTGACCGAATCTCCCAAAGCCACAGTGTTAAAGCAGGGGATGTGTAGACAGCAGGGATTCCCAGAGCCTGCTCCCGTTGAGCGTATGAGCAGCAGTGAGGTTTCCAAAAAAGAAAATTTCTTTTGTGGCAAGTCATGCTGTCGGGAGAGGGATGTTAAGTAGTTTCTGTTCTTGCTGCTTACATAAATTGGATGTGCGCTGGAGTCTCTGGAAAAGGCTTAGGGTGGCCGTACATTTAGCATAGAAGAAATCAAACAGCTGAGGGAAGAAGAACTGAAAAAAAGGTGAATTAAATCTCTTTTGCCCTATCAGACTACATACTCTCCCATTCTTCTTGGCTTTCTTTTCATGAGGGGGAGTGGTCTGTGCCATGCTGCTGGGGACTGAACCTCACATCCACAGTCCTCCTTCCCTCCTCACCACGGGCTGGATGTACAGGGTGGTGCTACACCTCTTTGTCCTTATTGCTGTTGATTCTGTGCGGCTGTCATCATTTGGAGGGCTCACTTTTCTTCTCACAATGTCTTTTCATGTTTAACATGTTCTGTGATCAGCAGAGCATTTATTTAGTTTTGAGCAGAGGGAGAGCAGGGTCCTTTGACAACTGAGTCAGAAGGAGGCCTTTAATTTCACATTATAGTTTCTTGACGTCTTGCTATCTGGCTCCTGGTGGCCAACCTGTCCTCTGTACTCTAATGCAGTATGAAATTCTGAGGATAGTGTTTTCTAACTTTCCTTGAGTATGACTAGAAAGAGTCATACCTAAGACAGCAGTCAGGTTACCACTGTTCTGCTCTGGCATGGCAAATCACCGTGCTGTTAGTACATCTGTTGCCCTAAAATTTAACGTACTTTTTGCTCTGTCTTTGCCAACATCACCCTTTAAAGGAAATGGATTCTATATTTAAACTCAATTAAAAAACTGTGTAAACTAAGAAAAAAACCAAAACGAATAAAAAAATCACAAATATTCTAAAGTGAAATTACATAGATTTTCCAGAGATCAGAAGTTGCACTACTTTGAAACAAAAGTAGAAGTGTAAGAAATATAAACAAGCTTGTAAATGTTCCATGGTACTTAAAGAGAAATGTAGTTAAGATTGGCAGTGTAGCATTTCAACAGGTAATAAGCACCTATCACCTTGAGTGAAGCTCAGAAATACCTCACCATGGTATTTCATTATAAGCATCAGCCTTTCTGACTATAGAATACGAGTTGGTAAAAAATAATGCAGCTAACCTTTCATGGGTTTAACAATGGAGAACAGGAACACAGAGGTACAAGATTTTTCACTTTACTGTACTTGTATTTAGTAAAGCAAAAGATTCATCATGGTACAGGTCTATATACTGGTTTATAGACACCTGTTTTCTACAACCTAGTGCTTTCTCTTGCTGGTGTTTTCTCTCAAGCTAGAATAACTCAGCTGCATGCCACACATCTCACAGATGAGTGTGAAAGTACTCTCAAGGCATTGACGTGCACGCCATATGCTACAAACATGCAATTTGATAAAATAAAACATTAGAAGCTTCATATTGTCTTACCTTTTTCTTAGTATTTAACCGTTTGGAATAACACTTAAGTGTTTGGATTCATACAATAATGATGACGTTGTATGTATACGTATGTAAGTATCTAACATCTGCATTACATCTTTTGCTAGCCCCCACTGTACTATGAATTCAATAAATAAAGCCAGATTTTCAAATCTGTTCAGTTAAATTATACCTATCAATGATTCTGGAAAAGACATAAGGGGTTTGATCTTCTGTAGCTCTGCATTGGACAAGTAACGTACAAATGACACTGAACTTGGCAAACGATCTGAACTTGGAAGACTGAAGCACTTTGAAATAAAAACTTGCTGAAATATAACTATACAATCTCAACAGGCACAGATGTCAATTTTCATGTTTGGTAAATGAAGCAGGCTATTGCATTGAGTTTCTGTCCATTGCTTTGCCTCTCATTGCTCTGAGCCTTCAGGATTGCATCAGGCTTAGGATCTCCAGACAGACCCTCCTGGCTCACCAGTCTAGGACTTCCCCTAGCTAATTCTAGCTGCCCAGGCTTGGGGTTAACTCCTGAGTTTCTCTGAGACTTGAGCATGGGCTCTCCCAGGACACTGTCTTTCTAACTAATAGGAAAACCTTCAGGAATACATGACAGTAAAAGACTCCACTTTTGTGTGGTTCCAAGTCTGTTAAGTCTGTTTACTCTGACCATGAAAAATAAACTGGACTAGGAAAAAATTGTAAACACTTTACAAATTTTCCTTCCTGTCTCATTACTCCAAATCAGTCCTGAGACTAAGATCAAAGTCTCTGAAAAAATCCAGATCTTCCTAAGCACCTTGGTTTACCTTCTGAACAACTAAATTTATCAACTCTTTTTTTTGGTCCTATTTTTGAAAATTTCTTTCCCTGTTAAATTGTTTTCCCAGACAGAAGCTATGTTTTGTGTTCAAGTATTGCCATCTCTAAAGACCAATCTTGAGATGAAATATTTCCGGCTTAGAAAGCAAATGCAAATGCCTTGTTAGCAAAGGTGAATTTATAGAGATTCAAAACATGCAGCAAGTTCATGACTATGTATTATCCACCAGAACTGACAAGTTTTGGGTATACAAATTTTGTGGATTCTTGCAACTCCATCCAAAAAATTTTCATTCTAATGCCTCTCTGTATAAAAAGATCTTATTATTGATAGTCAGGTCTCATCCAATATAAAAACAAATTTTCTGTCATGAAATCAGTAGAGTTAATCTTCTCTAACCCTCCATAGGCCTGGGCCCAAAAGTCACAGCACTACGGCTAGCCTGCGTTCACGCTGAACTCCTAGGAAATGCATTAAGAATCAATGATGTAAACCACTGAGATTATAAGAAAAACCCCAAACCACCATATTGGGGTACTGGGGACAGCCCACTTATTTCCAGTAAAAAAAAAAAAGGTGAGTCTAGCGAGTAAAATGAGTTAACAAATGCCATCATAAGTTAACATACTCGTGTTCATTCATTCTAGCATGTTTAACACAACCTGTGTTGCTTCATGTTCCCTCTGACTTTTCCACATCACAGTCAGCAGAAGGATAACAGCCCAAGCTACAACCATACCTTTTTCTAGACATGCCTGCCTTTTGTTTGTAAAATATGTCTCCCGAAGACTGAACATGTTACTTATATTTCAGGGTACTCCCAGATTTGCAGATGGATCTCTGGACACGCTTCTATTTAAGGGATGCCTCCTGCATTTGGTGAGGAGACAGGGGTAGTGCTCAGAAGAACGTGATGAATATTGTTGCTAGCACAAACAGTTCCACTGAAGTTCCCCATCATCTAGGTAAACTCATTTATTTGTTCTTGCCTTTGAAAGACTAAGCCCTCAGACTATACTAACATGGTCTTGGAACTCTGCAAAATTAAAGCTAATCCATGGCCCTAAATCTCCTTCCCTACGTCAACTTCTGGATGACTTTTGTTTTTCTCAAAAACTCCATTTCCCCAGAAAACTGAAAAGCTCAAACTTACTTGCTGCATTGTAGGTGAATGTAAAGCAGACTGGACCTGCATCGGTAGCTGGTTTCCAATGGACTGCTGCATTGAAATCGGCTGGTGTTGCTGGATGTTGAGATGCTGGTGCAGAGGGGGGCTGATCTGAAGAGGCGGCGGTGGGGACACAGCCATGTTTGCTATGGAAACAGTCACTGGCATTTGGTTGTTGGGCTTGGGCGCTATGTTCCTGGGGATATTGGCATGCATGGCAGTGATGTGAGGATTCATTCCTGGTTGTTGGTGGTAGTGGGAACTGAGGTACAGTGCAGAGTGAGCCTGGGCAGGCCCATGGAACACTGACTGCTTTGAATTCATCATCTGAGGTTGCGGGGAGGCTTTAACATCAACAGGTTCACTGTAGCTCTGTTGAGAAAAACAAAAAACAGACAATACTTAGAAGCTACAAAAAGCTGCTGTTCTTCCCCATGAAGTCTCTTTAAGAGTCTCACCATGGGAAAACACATATCTGGACCATCAAATTCTCTTTGACGTGGAGTTTGGTTCTTACACTAGAAAAATAATTAATCCCTTTTACATCATACCTTTCAATACCTTCAGCGTTGTAAAAAGAGAATTTAGCCCCTTTGCTTCTTGGTCTAGCCTGAAATTTGGCTTTTTCCAAACCTGGAGCTGGCATCGCTGACCTAATAACCTACACAACAAAGACAACCAAGCCTGTCTCATTTGTTCACATAAGCAGCCACTACTATTGTCATCAAATTTGATGGCCTGGTTGAAAAAATATTCAGGAGGGCAGGCTCCAGCAAAAGTCTGCAGTGATCTTTGACATGTCTCATTTTCCCGTTTACAAACCAGGAATAAGAATTTCATTGTCCTTTACCATACACGTTGATAACTGCTAATAGTGCTTTATCAGTTTGCTAACATGATGAAGTGGCTAAACCCAATCCACAGTTGTTCTACTGCATTGAATCAATATGCTAGCTGCTGTGCCGATACCTTTATTTTCAAGTATTCTATGCTGGGATGCTACCCACACCTGTATCAAACATGTTTCATGAGCCATGCATTCAGAAAAATAATAATATTCTGAATAATTTCACTTTTAGCAAAACTTCCTTTTTTAATCCAGTTCATAAAGTTCTGAAAATTTTGTTTAAAACTGATGTCTATGTAAATGTTAGACTGCATCAGACACAGGGAAGCTATCTTACTAAAGCTGGAAGAATACTGCATAGAATATTAGAAAATGCTGCATAGAAAATTAGAAAATAGATTTTCAAAAATGTTATGGTTTACCCTGATTTCCTAAAGCTGCTAGTAATAAAAAATTTCCAATAATGAATGTGAATTTTCATAATATCGTTTGTTCCAATATTTATAAATTGTTACATTTGATTTAAACTCAGTTTATTAAGTTGTTTTCCATACCCTTATTTTCTTAGATCTTCTGAGTGTTAACTCTGTGTGGTCAAATAAATGATGAAAAAAATTTAAGAATTAACTGCCATGAGCTTATAGGTGGGAATCATAATTCACAGTTAAGTCATACTGGGATTAATATCCAGTGAAAGGTGAAACATGCTGGAAAAAAATGGCAGAAATGTCCCTCTGGAGAAAGAAGTCACTTTGTCAAAACAAGGGCTGAAAGATGCATATATGCCCTTATTCTGTGACCTCCATGTCATGTTTGCTCAGTTTACAAGTCAGAGTAAGTTTCATGTTACTCTCAGCACTCCAGGGTCAGTGAAGTCTATTTGTATTCTTTCTGAAGGATGTACCATCACCAACAATCCGCTAACACACGCGTTACTGAAATTGCTTTATTATATGCGATGATAAAGATGGGAAAGATAACTTCATTTTCCCTAAGTGTAACGGCAGTACCATTAGCAAAAAACCTTGTTTTCTCCAGTAAACTAAGGGAAATTAAATGAATATGATAAAATGAATGCAAATCTCTGCCTCTGTGGATCTGCCTGGCTCTGCTCGCATGTGGATGTACATGTGTGCAATATTATATGCATGTTTGCAAGATTCAGATACAGATATAAAACCCCACAGATACTGAATGATAAAACCTGAAAGTAGGTGCAAAATCTGCCAGTTTTTTGGTATTATTTTTAAAATACTGAACTAATGATCATGACGACATGAGTAATATTTCCCTCCTCTCTTCCCATTTGTATTTGTAGGACACTCTCGTGAGCGTGGGAGCAAAGACTGGCAGGTTTGCCAAAATTTCAGAGATTCCGAAGAAGGTTTGCTAATTAGCAGCATGGTCAGGACCTTCCTCTTGAGCGTGCCGGGCTCTTTACACATTACAGGAGATGTATGCTGTGCTTTTTCTTGAGAAACGTGAACTTTTATTGCATGCATTGTCCTCTCATGAAAACACCTTGCCTTGCCATGATGTAGCTGGAAGGCTCTATCTGGTCCGAGCAGGGATAATTGCTCCTGAAGTGTCTAGGGGTAGACCGGTTAAACAGTTCCTCCGGTGAGGAAGTATCAAAAAGCCTTTGCAGCATACTGATACATACTTCTATTTCATTTGTGACTACAAAGATGCTGCCATACACCTCTTTAACAAAGATACAGTGAACCAATTTAATTATTGGTTAATTCTGAGTTCACACATAGGCAGTGAATGCACGGCCCATACTGATAAAATTACAGAGATATCAGATGCTTAGTATCATTTAATACTTGAAATATCAAATTATGTTAAGAGGAATTGTACAGTCTCGGGCCAGAGATGAATAACACTCACTTTGCCTCTGAGAAGGGTGTCTGCAGAGTGATCAAAAGGGACCGTTCCAGCTGTCTCAGGCTATCAAAAGCTTTCTCTGTGTTTCACTACCTCCTGATCCAATGAGAAGCACAACATTTCAGTTTCAAACCAAGTATTTTGCTGTTACTCAGGACGCTTTAAATCATATGTGATCTGAAGCCCAATTGTCCAATACCAGTGTAAAACATATCAATATTATCAGTTACTGGGAATCTTGATAAATGAACCCATTAAATGCTATTCTCCAGCATATTGCACTTTCAGCTTTTTCTAAGGCTGGGTCAGAAACCCAGATTTCGTAAGTATTGCTGAAGTTAATGGAATAGGTGATGTTGAATATTTTGGCTTTGTTATGTCACTTTACTGTCAAATATACCAAGAAGTGTATGTAATGCATAGGTCATGTTATTATTTCGGGGACAATTACTGTTTTCACAGATTTGAATGAGCATTGCACTTGTCCAATACAGCATCAGACAGCCTTAGACAAGGACTTTTATTATGGGTAATACTAATAATTAGGAAAGAAGGGATTTGATTAGCCAATATGGGTCTCAAGTAGACAGTCATGTTCCCTAACTTTGCAGGCTGGAATTCAGTGAATTTTCTCTTGCCTTATCCAAGGAGAAGAGAAAATACAGAAAAAAAAAATTAAACCCCCCACCTCTTCAGTTAATTAATCTGCCCAAAGACAACAAAGACAATTTACATCGCTTTTTTTTGGCATGAAGTTATAGGATAAAAGTCATTTACAGGTATATGCAGTGGAGATAAAAATTACAAATATGTAGACACAGGCCATCAAACATCAAAGCTCAGTTTCTCCTACATGTGATAAGGTCTTCTACTAGACATGCAATGAGAAAATCTTTTATCATTACTATCAGAACTATGGTATTGTAGACCCACCACTAGAGGGTGACAGAATATTATATTTATTTAATGGTAGGAATTGATATTGTACACATACATTAGCAAATGTACTCCAGGACCACAAACTAACTTTTCTTGACAGTCCTTTATGCTCTTTGAGTAGCTTCTACTTGTTCTTGAGGTCACCTCAAAGCCTTACTCTAAATCTTTCAAGTTCTTAATAGGCTAGGAGTAGGGTTTCTTATGCATATGCCTCTCCATCTCACATCATCATCTAATACTGTTGCCCAAACCAAAAAAAAAAAAGAACAACAAAACAAAACACCAAAACCAGAAGGTGAAGACAAGGTAGGTAGGCCAAGGCAATGGAATGCTACAGAAAAAGTATGACTGCCCTTTAGGCACAACACAAGACCACCTTTTCTTTTTTCTACAATAATCTGTTTTTTTACGGAAACATGAAGAAAAAGAACATTTTGAAAGCCCAACAGAAATAGAATGAAAGTAGAAGAGAAATAGAGAAAGGAAGGAAACCAAATAAATGCTACTGTAACTATCATGATAATTAATATAATTATATTAATTAAAAGTACTGATAAGTACAGAAAGCCTTGGTGTGTGACCCTCACTCCACAAAATTATTCTACTTGTATGATACTTTCAAGGAAATGTGTGATGATACAGATGAGTGATATTCTTCAGAGAAAGTGGTAAGAGTTGATCATTTTGCACAAAGTTTGGGAAAGGCTGAATCAAGTTCTTACCCCCACTTTACTTTCAATTCTAAAGTAAAGCAAACTTTTCCATCTATGTTCTGCTTCCTATTATGTGGCAAAAATCCTTGTGCTTATTTGTGAAATTAAAGAATTAAATCAGGTTAAGGGGTTAAGCATTGCTCATCCAGTTGCGCTATTCTTCCCTAAGGAGAACTGCCCTGGGACTAATGGCCCTTCTTATTACAGACTGAAGTCAGGCACAGAGCAGGATGTCACTTCCTTAGAGGGCTTTCCCTTACCCCCCAAAAATCTACCCCACTCATACAGCTGGGAAATGGGTTTTGGGACAGACATCCTGCTCAATTTAGCGGTGTCAGAGAAAACACCAACAGCCTAGTGATGCCATTCTGGCATTTCCATGGCTTCCTTTGGGCTATCATTTTACTTCCATGTTGAAAAGTCTATAGTTGCATTTTGAACCATCACCTGTAGATCTGGGTAACCAAACAGATGTTGAAACCTACACATGGGGTTTGATTCCCTTTCTAACTTGTGGCTGCATTCTGGCTACAGTTGGCTCTTCTAACCCCACTTCTGTTGGAACAGAAACAACACTCATGATTGAAAGTAAAGCGAGGGCATGTTTCAACAAGGCAGTACTCTAAGGGTCTGATCCTTAGACTACCAAATTTAATGGAAAGCCTTCTATTAACTTAAATTGGAATTTGGATCAGAGCCCAATGCTGTTACTTTAGTATTACTGTCTAGATGTCCATTTCATTTTTCATGGAAACTAGGTAGGACCTGACTAACAGAGGCCGACAATCATTCCCAATTGATGAGCACTACTTTTGACCTGTGTTCCTTCAAAAGCATACCTAGAAACAACAAGAGCCTACGCTTACTTCATTTTGCCTTTTTAACATGCTAATGCAGCAGTTAGAAAAGTTGCAAGTAGGACCATATATATACACGCATATGTATATGAACATCTTCAATTTACATACTGTATATATTTTTTA